AAGTGCAAATATTTTCAGGGCTGGTAGATCTCAATAAAATAAATATAATATATTCTCTTTACCGAGTTTCAAATAAGTCCAGTCGAGTTATTAAAGTTTGGAAATTAAGAAAAAAATAGATTTATTTTTAAAAAAAATTGAGCCACCTCAATGTTTCGGTATTTGCATTTCTTTTAGTGCCGTAATATCAGAGATTAATAAACTATACCGTGGGGGAAAATTTGCGGTGAACAGGAAGTTCTAAAAAGTTTTCTAAAATATACAAGAAAATTTAAAAGAAAATGCTCGATTTTTAACATCTTTTTTTGCAAAAAAAAAACTCATAGACGTGTTCCTGGGGTCGAAATATACCACCCCTGAAAATATTTGCACTTATTTAAGACTCACCCTGTATAGTTTTACCCACTATTCTTTTACAAATAACTAATAAATGACTGACTGGCAGCAGAAAAAAGAATGAATAGCATTAGGTAAATTTAAATAGTCTCGATCTAAATGTATACTAAGAATGCGGTAGCGTAGATTGACAACTGGGGGCCTCGGTGCAATCTTTTTCGAGCTCCCCTTTGTAAAAAGGTAGATGAATTTGACGCGAACTCTGCGGTTGACGGAGAAAACATCTATGTTTGGTTTGAATTGGGGACGGACTAAAAGCCAAGTCTGAGAACTAAAAGCCAAGTCTAAATTGTTGTTTATAATGTTGCTAAAATGAATTTGCTAAAAATTACTGAGACAGCAGAGAAGAGTTAAATAAGGTTTAAACTAGATTAGATAATAAAATATTAAGATGTCTCGAAAATCCAAATATTCTTATTATGGACTGTAACATAGCATAACATCAGAACACATTTGTATCCACTGCCGAGGTATTGCCTAGGTTTTTTTCGTTTGAGTCATGGCATTATCATACAAGATGCCAAATGTAGAAAAGTATAGAGGAAAATTTTCGTGATAAGAACTATATAATAACCTAAAAAATGCTGCAGTTTTAATGGAGACCGCGGTTCATTCAGTTAAAAACACGTGTAACACAGGCTGTTGTTGTAGCAGAAAAGAGAGAATTTCTTTCTACATTGTGTAAGAAAGTAAAAACTAACCGAAAAACTAAAAGTTATGTATTTCACAGAGGATTGGGTCAGCTGAACTGAATGAATCAGGAAGTCTTAAAGTTTCTCAAAATCGTGACTCAAAATCGTAGCCTATTTCAGATCAAATTACCGTTATCGATAATGGAAATAAAGCAGTATATAAGAACCTTGTAAAACTGAGCCATTTTGTAGTAAAAATTCAGATGTCCGACCCAATATTGATCTTTACGAAAATTTTGATCAAGACCGGAGGCAAAATGCTTTTTCGCACGAGCGAAAAACACCCTTACTTATATATTAATAAATAAAATATGTTTCTTCGTTATGGTCATTTTGTTTTTGTGGATTTGGGCCGGTTGCCTGTTTTTTCCCGAGCCGGTTTCCACTTCCCCATCCATCCCTGATCCCAGGTACTGCTGGGCACCCTCCACAGAAATATTGAATTGTAATTCTTGGTTAAATATTAGTTTTTATTTGCTTGTGATGTAGTAAAACTGACGTTTTCTAGTTTTGTTTAGTTAATATTATTTCGTTTTGTTCAAAAAATGGGTTAGTTTATATTTTTTTAGAAAATTTGTAAGTATTTAAGTAATCTACGGGAACACGGTTTGATAACCAAGTCTATGAAATTTATTGATAGAGAGAATTTTATGTAAACGTTTTATTCAAAACGTGTTTATTTTTGAAGTGGGACTTCTTTACGCACGATGGGAGTAAAAATTGAATCGGAAACGATCGGAGGTTACGACGGAGCGTCGTAACTCGAGCCCTATGTGAACTAGAGGGCTGAAACTCGGAATGTAGATGGAACGAAGAGCCCCATCTTTTCATGATATTTTGACGACGTTTCGTGCACTACGAAACATCATCATCAATGAATCAAATCAAAAAATCGTCCGATTTAAATGAAATTTGGTATGTCGATAGATTCGACCAAGGCCAAGTTGACCATGTACGACACGTGTCACTGTGACAGTTACTTTAGATGTAACAAACGTCAAAAGTTGATATTCTCCGGTCGCGACCAAATTTGGGGGGTAGGCTATGTGAGCAACGGTGCACACGGTCCCACCCTGCAAAGTTGGGTACGTTTCGTTTACATCTTCATCAAGGTAGGTCTAACGATTTGATATTTGAAGAAAAATGTGGGTCAATTTCTGCATAATTGGGGACGGGCTACAGATATAGAATATTATTTTTATTTGTCTATTTCAATAAAAATGTTCTCATTTTCTTTTTGATATACAGGGTCCGACAATAGTGCGTCGGGTATCTGTGACTTCTAGAATAAAAAAACTTGAGAATTTTGTTTAAGTGCAAACTTAAATTATGTACGAGAATGTATTTCAGGAAAATAACTTCTATAGGGTGGCACAAAAAAGTGAGTGGATCGGGATGATTTTTTTTAATGGAACATCCTGTATATCATTGCATTTTTGGCTTCTTTTCAGATCACTTTACATAGTCCTAAAATATGAATAAATATATTTCGATAAATTCAGAGATATTAAATAAGTAAATAAAAAATATATTTTTTTCAACTTTCCTTAAAAAATTATTACAAATACAATACTGTCCTGAAATCAAAACTATATTAGGTACTTACTTTAGGTGGTCTATACTTACTTTCCTATGAATATCGTAATCTGAAATCTGAATATCGTAATCTCTATGAATATCGTAATCTTTATTAATATCTCTGAAACTATCGAAATATATTTGCTCATATTTTAGGATTATGTAAAGTGATCTGAAAGGAAGCCAAAAATGCAATAATATACAGGGTGTTCCATTTAAAAAATCATCCTGATCCACTCGCACTTCCTTGAGCCACCCTATAGAAGAAGTTAAAATATTTTCCTGAAATACATCATAGTACATACTTTAGGTTTACACTTAAACAAAATCCCCAAGTTTTTTTATTCTAGGAGCTACAGATGCCCGACGCACTATTGCCAGACCCTGTATGTAGCTGCATTTTTATTAAATATTTATAATACATTTTTGATTTTGATAGTCACTTCTGGGATCCGGGAATTATAGGCTCTTATCCCGGGATTTCAAAACGGGGATACTAACCCCGAAAATTGGAAATATACGGCAACGTAGTCCGAGAAAAGAAAACATATTTTAAGCGTATTTAGTTCTTTTCTCATCTTAATAATCAAATAGTATTATTTAAATAAAAAAAAACATTTCATGAGCACCCGGGAGAAACGGTGAGTGTCCAAAAACAATAAATGTTCAGGAAAGCGTTTTTTAATTCAAATTGCGCATAGACTTTTATCGTTTTTCCCGAGTATGTGGTATTTTTAAATGCCTGTTTCTATGTGACCCCTATCGATAGTCCCATTTATTTAGGTAAAAAAGATGTAACTTTTTAAGACCGAAAATATTATTTATTTATACATTAAAACCAAATTAGCAAAAAATGGACTTTCATCGTTTTTCCCGCGTTCTCTTCATTTTATTGTCTATTATGGCTAGACAACTTATCAATAGTTAAGATTAAAATAATTGCATTAGTCATTTCAACACTTTTCTAATACGATTTAAGTGTTCTTAAAATAAATTATTTTTTATTATATAATTTCATCTTTTGATATTGATGGCTGATTGCAATTCGTTTGTAGGTCATGCCGAATATTAAAGATATAAAATATAAAAAATGTAAACAATCTTCAAAGAAAAACAAAAATATTTTCAACATTTGTAGTGTTCAAAAACGATATTGGAAAATATGGTGATTTTTAACCATAAATATCTCATATTATTTATGGTTAAATAAGTATAATATGCAAAAAATATCAATTTGCGTCATAGCTTTGAAAATACGTCGTCAGGTATACAGTGTTTTGCGATTGTAACTCGAATTTGAAAAATGATTTGATATTTATATAATAATATGATTAAATAACAAATTGGTAACTAAGGGGGGCAATTTGCTAATTTTAACCAGAATAAAGCTGAATGAAATAAGAAAAAATCGGCAAAATGAAATGAAAAAAGGGGACGTGGAAAATGTCGTCGGCGGAGACTGGTCGACCTTGACTCGCCGGCATCGTTTCTGCATCTTCCTGCGTCGCCAGGTTCAAGTGCAAGGCCAACTGGGGCCCCCTGTCAGGGCCACCACAATTGCAGTAGCCACAGCTGCACCATCAGCTGGTGCAAGCAGCAAAAATAATTCCATTTTCTGATACGAACCTTGAGGTAGAGATGTTAAAACTCGAAAAAGTGTCGATATATAAATATCGACAATGATTAGCATCCCTACTCTTTTATCAGTTTTCTATTATACAGTGTTGGCATTTTAATTTTTCATTATTTTTATTATTGGGTACGTTGTGATCCAACGCATCATTTTGTTGTGATCCAACGCATCCGTTGTGATCCAACGCATCCTAAAATTTACATATAAATTACAACCTACATCATTTCATTCATAAAAGGGGTATCATACAGTAATAGGCTATAATATTTGTTATCTTTATATACAGGGTGAGTCTTAAATAGGTGCAAATATTTTTAGGTGTAGTTTATTTCGGCCCCAAAAACACGATTATGAGTTTTTTTCGAAATTTTTTTTAGTTTTTAGTTAAAAAACATAAAAGCCAACATAGGTGTAGTAGATTAAATTTACTTAAATTATTACTTAAATGTTTTTTTCTGAGAAAAAAACAGAGAAGATTCAGTGGTTTTAAAAATTTAAGCAAAAAATCACTTGGAAATTTTCAAAGTAAAGTAACTCGGTTATTTTGGACTTATTTGAAAAGCGGCAAAGAGAAAATATGTTTCTTTTATCGAGATCTACCAGCCCTACAAATATTTGCACTTATTTAAGACTCACCCTGTATAATATTGTTAGCAGTTCTTATACCCACAATACTTTATGCATAAAATATTTTATAAAAGGTATCCATCATGACGGACCCCGGCTTGTCGCCCTCCAACGTACCTATAATCAAAAAGGAACTGGACGCATTTTCGGAATGTTCTCCATCAAATAGCGATTTATACTCACCATCTACCACGACAGTCATTTCGGAAAATGGTACTATACATTCTTCGGATATCAAGGTAAAAATTTTGATTAATTGGTCAGTAACAATACAATGAATAAACATCAAATATTGTGCGGTCCTAAACAAAGCGGTTGTATGAGCCAAAATACAAGAAAGAAATAAGTAATTGAGTGCATTGTGATATTTTTACGTTACACCGTTGATTGAAAGAATTGAAAAGATACGCAACCTAATGGGCGAATTAGTGGCAAGGCTGATTTGATTTCCCCGTACGCCTCAAGTGCTGTACGATGGAGACACCAGTTGTTCTGCGATCAACGCATAAAACACTTATTTTCTCTAATTCGGCCAACGAAGGCATATCGAGGACGGTGTGGATTTGAAAACAACAGTGTTGCCATATTAAAATCTGTAATATATGTAATACGTTTGACGAAAATATCTTTGGATGACAAATCCGCGTTTATGTATTGAAAATTTATTCGTGTTAAACATAGAATAAATAACAAAAATAAATATTCCTTTATAGGTACTGAATATGTCGTATGATCGAAAAAAGTCGATTGTTGACGATTGTTGACATTTACCATAATATTTTACATATTAAATAACAGCGATCTTCATATCCAAGCCAAGTCTGACGCCATTCTTTGTTTAATCATGTAATATTATATTAAATTGTTTAATAATAGAAAATCCGTATTATTAACGTACTGTACCCAAAATGCGTAATTTTGGCGACACTGTCTCCTCAACCACTCACTCTGTCGATTGAAAACAGGTTTGCTACAGTTTGCAGCGGCGCACCGCTAAACTCTGGGAATTCTGGGACAGGCTGACGGTAACGCCAGCTACATCTCGGACAGTTGGTTCGTGTTGTGCCACGAAACCGCCCATAAGATTGCGCAATCTTATGGGCGAGAATTCTTCAATCAACGGTTACACTTTATACGATCAAATAATGACGTCATTTCCAGCATGAAACCTACAGGATCTACTTTACTTACTAAAAATAATAGATCTATTTTATATTATGGAGACTCTAGCCACACTCCTTCCGAACTCAGGAGCCGGTCTGACAGCTTGTACCAATCCTACCACTACTGCGCCAATTTTTTTATGACACTTATATGTACCTACCTTTTTACCTAATAAACGACTAGATTTGAATTGTCACAATTTCTGAACCTAGCCGAACTGTGGTTGACAGATCACCTTCGAAATAGAAGACACTTATTAGACACATTCTTAGTTAAAATATAGTCAAATATCTCAATACTTAAATGTTTTAAGACATTATTTAGGACGATATTTGTTGGTTTATTCTTAACGCAAAATTTGAATATCCCTCCATATTCTTTTTTTTGTATGTAGGGCATGGAATTCAATGGCAGCTATGAGAGTAAAGCGATACCGTCACCTGGCAGTCCAGAGCATCAGTATTGTTCTTCCACGACCCAGCCTCACACAGAATCTGGAATGGGAAACAGCGAGGTACATACTTACTATAATACAGTTTATTCGGCACACAGCTAGATAACTCTGTCTGTTTTCGAAAATTTGCTATGTATACCGAGTGCGTCTCAAAAGTGGCTCACCCCTATAACTTTTAATTTTCAGATAAAAGAACGAGATTTGGTATGTTAGTGACATAAATTAGGATTGATGGGCGTATTCAATTCTTTTCGGCCACATCCTGTTTTACCCGAAGTGACTACAACTTTTGATTTTTAAATTGTACTCTCGGTATTTTTTTTATTTTATTCTATAGAAAATTACACTGAATAGAACGACATATTATTACAGTCAACTTTTAACATTTTCGCTTAAAACAAAATTGTATTTTAAATTTCAATCAAGAGTGCCATGGATGAGTTAAAAACACTCATTTTTTATCAAGGAACCTTGGAAAAATAGATTTGATCGTCTAATGTTTTTAGTGTCTTGTCCTGGCCGGTTAAAAGATGCCCAAGTCATATTTTTATACATCCTCAATTTTTTCAAATGGAACGAGGGTAGCTCATTAGCATATTTTTTGGAAAAAGCATTTTTTGACGAACAATTTGGTACCACACACTTGGTATTTCGAGTCAAATTGTTGTTATGAACAGCATGTTACAATTTCAAATAAACCATATGAGAAAATGTCAAAAGTTGACATATGATATGTCATTCTATTCAAAATGTCATTTTCTATCGAATAATGTAAAAACATACCGAGGATGTCATTTAATAATCAAAAGTTGTAGTCATTTCCGGTAAAACAGGAAATGACCGAAAACAATTGAATACGTCAATCAATCCTAATTCGTCTTCTACTAACATACCAAATCTCAATTTTTTATCAGAAGAAATGAAAAAGTTATCGGGGTGAGGCACTTTTGAGACGCACCCGGTATACTCGCTGCATTGCTGCGTCGTAGTAAGCAATTCATGGACTTTCTTACTTCAGAATAGGCTATAACAAGAAATGTTCTACATTTGAATAAACTGTGTCCATAACTACAGTACTTAACATCCTAATCTAAAATATATATACTCTTACAGGGTGAAAATAAAAATGACGATGACTCACCTAGAAGGTTATGCCTAGTCTGTGGAGATTTCGCTTCAGGATTTCACTATGGCGTAGCTTCCTGTGAAGCATGTAAAGCTTTCTTCAAACGAACGATACAAGGTAATATGAAGATCTAAAATTATATCTCAAATCCTTACATCGCCGCTAGAACATACCTGTTATATAATTGAATGCATTGTGCAGATGTGTCTGGTGGTTAGACTGTAAAGGCAAACAAATAAAATTGTATTTTAGGAAATATCGAGTACACTTGCCCAGCAGCTGGAGATTGTGAAATCAACAAAAGAAGACGAAAAGCATGTCAAGCATGTCGGTTTCGCAAGTGTCTTCGATCGGGAATGCTTAAAGAAGGCGTGCGACTCGATAGGGTTCGTGGTGGTAGACAAAAATACCGGAGAAATCCAGAAAGTCCGTACCAAGTGCAGGTGGTATCTGCACAGAAGCCTCACGTTCTTCTAGAAGGTTAGAAGTAAATCTATACCCTTATATTTTAAATCAGAGATTTTATTTAGAGATATTTTGACATAAGCCATGCTTTTTGCAGATATAAAAATGCTGGAAGCTTTGATCTCGTGTGAACCAGACTGTTTGGAAATAAACGCGACATCAGAAAATTCCAAACATCGAACGTTATCCATTCTAAGCGACTTGTATGATAGAGAACTAGTCAGTATCATTGGTTGGGCTAAACAAATCCCAGGTAAAATCAAAACGCAGTATTTAATCACATAAAATCGAACTCAGAACTTTTATTTACTATTTTCATTTTCTTTTAATTTTAGGATTTACCGATTTGTCGTTAAACGATCAAATGCGATTGTTGCAAAGCACATGGGCAGAAATTCTCACGCTAACGCTGGCTTTCAGATCTTTACCAATGGTAAGCCTTAGGAGGTTGAAGTTTGCAGTGGATTTTACTCTAGACGAGAAACAGTCAAAGGATTGTGGCGCCGTTGAGCTATATCAAACCGTAAGCTATCGATTTTTTTGGACATCCCTACGTTAAACTTATTGTAAATTCACTAATTTATGTTTTTCAGTGTACTCACGTCGTCGAAAGATTAGAAAATCTGTCGATACTTAAAGAAGAATATTATTTATTGAAAGCTTTGGTATTGACGAATTCTGATGTAAAGCTAGACCAGTATCAAGCTTTGAAAAAGTTCAGGGATTCAATATTAGCCGCCTTGTCTGATGCCATGAGAGTTTTAAGGTAGATTAAATTTTTGACGTTAAAATGAATCAATATTTTTGCACATTCCTACAATTGTTTATTCTCCCTAGGCCCAGTAACGTTCTGAATCAAATCCAACAACTACTCCTGTGTCTGCCTGTTTTGAGGCAATCAGACCACGTGGTAAGAAGATTCTGGTCAGATATCCACAACCAGGACTTGGTACCCATGAACAAACTGTTTCTTGAAATGCTGGAGGCCTACAGCCGGTAGCCACGCTGAGCGATGTCCAACTAGCGAGAAATTTCCCTAACTTAAAACAAAAACGATACGAAAACGGGTCATCTTGGTTGTGAACTGAGGAGTATTAAGGCCAAAAACCTACTTAAGCAATAAGCAGTGATTTTTTCTTATTAAAAATAATTATTATTAGGGACTGATAAATCTTGGATGAACTGATAAGCGTTCAGTGACTGATTATTACGGAATTATGAACATCTTTGACGAACCGATAAGTCCCTATGAAATAATAAACGTTTCGGGACAGATAAGCTTTTGTGAACTGATAAGTCTTTGGGAACTGAGAGGTTTCTTGCAAAGAATGGATGTCGGCAAGTTTGGTTTGGGTGTCAATTGGGAAGCTTTGTAGAGTTATAAGAGATAAATCATGAAAAAAGTGGTGTTAGCGCGCGAGGTTGAGTGTGCGTTTGGCAACAACACAATATATGTTCGACTTTCGACGTTGCCGGACGGTATAGAAAGAGAGGAATCCGAAGATAAGAACACGATATTATTACTGTTTTTATACAGGGTGATTCACTGTCATGGTAGGTTCGACTTTTATGGAGACCTGATGATGGGTTATTTTTGAAAATTTTGATTTATGCATAAAGGCGCCTGCTTTATCTGTCTAAACTATTTTCAGCGTTCCAGTGTTGCCATTTCATACTAAAAGTCAACTTTTTTCGAAACTACTTTTATTTCTCAGCTTTTCTATTATGCTATCCTATATCTATCTCTAATAGTTTGTTGTCTCAGAAAAATTGACAAAAACAGGATCTCGAATAAGCACTGGTTAAATTATATATTGGAATATTGAAAGATGAAATATGGTTATGTCAGGGAAAGTCGACATATTCAATTTGTTAAATCAACCGATTGGATGTCAAACAAATGAAATTACTTTCATTAACTTATACCCCAAAATTCGACCTTAAAAATGTTCAATTTATTATTTTACTAATGCTTATTCTCAAAATCATGTTTTCGTCAATTTTACACGTATTTTATTTTTTATCTTGAAATCTATTAGAGATATAGATTACTATAACAGAAATAGACGGTAATCGCAAAACATTTTCCGATGCATATCATCAGTCAAATCAAAATTGACACTAAAGCCTATAAACCAGATTAAATAAAATTTTGGCTAAAAATCTTTAAATTTGTTGTATAATTTATGATACCGATACCGAGCAGCTCTTCATTTTACTTCATAGAGCAAATGATTGTAACAGATATTTTATTTAGGTTAAAGCTGCAAAAATTAGTTTAAAGCGATTTTTGCTACCGCCATTTCACAATTATCATAATGTCAGTCATTATTTTGTATAATATTGTCTTGTTGTTGAATCTTTGGGAGTAATTCTCGTTTTTTACCGATTTCCATAGTCTTTTATTAACTGTACTTTTAAGCACAAACAGTTCTTCTAAGAACTAAATAATCGTTTTTTTTTATTGCGATTTCTTAAAATTGTGTGTCGAAAATATGCCGAAACATTTAAACAGTTGAAGCGAAAAGCTTATAGCTTTCCTGATAAACTATTTTGAACGAGAACGTGACAATAAAGATCCGTTATTACCCTTGACTTCCTTACTCTTACAATCAGAGAAGTAGGTTTGATTGATAGGCACCATTATACCACTTTCAAAATTATTTCTACTTATTTCGATTTGTAGCGAGTAGCTGCTGCCTTAAATTTAAATATTGCTACTGTTAATAAATAAATTAATTACTAAAATATTAATTATTAAATTAATTATAAAAGGTAAAAATCTTTAAAAAATGATATAATAAATAGTATATTGGTTTCTCAATTTTACATTAAGATTCATCTCATAAATCCATCACAATCTGACAGCGCTGCCGCTGTCGCCATCGCTTGTCACTCAAAGTTGATCACGTGCATCGGAAATTGTTTTGCGATTACTTTATATATTAGGTTACTATCTTGTTACTATAACAGAAAAAATATGAGAAATGAAAGAAGTTTCCAAAAACGTAATAATATTCCGGGTGTTTTCTATTTAAAATAACACAGATGCTACCACTTTTCAAATGATGCGGCAACATTGTAACGCTGAAAATATTTTAGATAGATGGGATCATGTAAAAATCCAAATTTTCAAAAAAATTTATCACTGGTTGTCCATAAACATCTAACCTATCATCGCCGTGATTGACCCTATGTTACAAAGTTGTTCAACACAGTTTAATGAGTTGATCCCGGTATCGCTATTGATAAACGTTTAAACTACAATAAACAAAATATAAGTAGTTTTTAAAGAAAATACAGGTATTTTAGTAACTATTTTACAATTAGATTGCCTTGAACAACGACAAAATGATATTATGAAACAAAAACACCATATAGCCCAGTGTATTTTTTATAAACCTTAACTTGAGACACTAAATTTTATTTTCTTTACCTACTATATTTTTTTCAGGCGTCTTCGTCTGGAAATTTTTTATATACCAGACTAGTAATATATTTTCATATACGAATGATATGAAGTGTTTAGATTTCAGAACGAAAAGCAAAGTATAACATATTGTATATAGGTATATATTTTTAAAAAATATATATTTTAGTAGCTTATGGAAATAATGTAAATTACAAATATTTTTTTCTCTGTGAAATCGTATATATTAACTCATAATACTTCTTATAACTACTTTCCGTTTAACTCATATCCCGTTCAAAAATGAGGTAGGTAAGTTAAATGGAAAGCAGACATAAGATTAAATATTTTTTCGGCCGATTGACAAGTTTTGCAAAAAATAAATTTTCACTTGTTAATTAATTTTGTTTCTTTTATTTTTCGTTGGGTCATTTAAAGGACTAGGTAAGTTAAATGGAAAGCAGACATAAGATTAAATATTTTTTCGGCCGATTGACAAGTGTTGCAAAAAATAAATTTTCACTTGTTAATTAATTTTGTTTCTTTTATTTTTCATTACAATATAGTAATTCCAAAGCAAACAAATTATAACAAACAATAAATAAGACTTTATTCAATAAATATTTACAACAATATACACTTTCTAGACTACATAAAAAATAAGTATAAGATGTAGACCGTAAAAAAAACAAAAAAAATATATTTTTTCCAGCTTAGTTTAGTAATTCAAACACCGACTTCTATATAAACTTGAATAAACGACAGAAAATTGCACATCGAGAAATGTGATGAGATGAGTAAAGAGAAAAATTCACAGATTTATATAATTTGTTCAATACAATGGCACATCATATTTAGTAATATGACTATTTTGATTGGAAAATAGTATAAAGAGCTATATCTTATAATTACAAGAAAATATACTTTTTTATATTTTCTTAAAGTTTTAGGTAATCTCAAAAAGCACAGTGTGATCAAACAATTATAAATATAGGTTAAGAAATCGTATTTATTTCAAGATTGCATTGTTTAGCTATCACCAATAAAAATTTATTAAAAACATATTTCTGTTACTGAACATTTCGCAAGAATCTCTATATTCTTGGGATATGAAGCCACAGTATTTACACAAAAAAACTACATTTTAAATATATACAGGGTGTTACAAACTCGAGGTACGAGCATTGGTATCTCAAAAACCGTAATAGATACGAAGATGGTTAAATTGGGACAAAGTTGCGCCTTGGGATGTTCGCCAACATGCTATAAAAAACGTTCCAAAAATTTCAAGGATTGCTGAGTTTTTTTGGAAAAAATGGATTTTTTTGAAAATCAATTTTATTTTTTCCTGACATTATTGTTTAGAAAATCAAAAAACTAATTGCACATTCTCATAACCACTTTATCAGGGCTATCTGATAGTATTTTTAGATTTTCAAATTAGCTGATAATTTGTGAGATACAGATGCCAACTTAATTTTTTAAATACGGACCTGCATTTTTTATTTCAGGTTTAGAAAGAACTCGATCTTCTAAATACAATGACAAGCCACACTTTGTTTTGGGTACCTTAACAAAACAAAACTATTTAATTATTATTTAAAATAATTTCAAGTCCGTCTCTGGTTTTTTGAATAAAGCTCTTTCGTTTTGAATAGATAGAATGATAGCCCTGATAAAGTGGCTATGAGAATGTGCAATTAGTTTTTTGATTTTCTAAAAACTAACGTCAGAAAAACATAAAATTGATTTTCAAAAAAATCCGTTTTTTTTCAAAAAACTCGGCAATAATATTTAAAGATTTTTTCATAGCATCTTAGTGAACATCCCAAGAAGCAACTTTGCCCCAATTTAACCATCTTGGTATCTATTACGATTACATACAGCACCCCGTATAAATTGAAATCAGAATAGGGTTCCAGAACCTAACTTAATTATTATTGTTTTTAACAACACAGTATTTTGTACGAAAGCACCCTAAATATAAGTGTTGTCGTCCGCTATTTTCTGTCACTTTTATATTTGAGACATACATATATTTATAAAAACCTATATTCGATACTAAATAAATGTTTAGTTAAGTCACAGATTATACAGATTATAGACTTTATTTTTTCTTTATAGTTTTTCGTGGTTCCAATTTTCAGAATCGGGCACTAGTTAGGTTACTAGTTTGCGGACATAGCACGCCCACTTATGGCCTCTAAAATTGTGCAGAGCGCCTGACCGGCACAGTCATTAGAGAGATATCGCAAAACCGAATAGCGGCATGCAGTATTTACGCGTACCTTATCATGGTTACGACAAAGACTACAGTCACGATATGCGCGAGTCAGTTTTTAACGCAACACCCGCTAATAACGTTACCGCCTGACGTAATTTGCGGGTCAATTACACCAAGCGCTATTTCTAAATAACGTTTAAAAATTGCTTAAATGGGCATGTGCGGGTATTTGACAACCACGGCCGGCCGGCGAGATCTTTTATTTTAGGTTATGTTTGAATTGTTTTGAATTATTACTTTAGTTTTATTAGGTAATTTGATATTTAAGTAGCTGGGATTAGTTTTAATTAAATAAATATGGCCCAAAATATGAATTCCACCTCTTCCAATATTAAAGAACCTATAAAGAGGCTTATGTTTACAGCAGATGACGACTTAGCCCTTCTAAGAGAATTTGTTGTTTGTTGCCCTAAACCCACTGGCAGACGTTGAACAATAAAGCACTGGAAATAAGCACTTTAGCCCTTTAGTTTTAAAATACCTAGTAAACAAAACAATTTCAAAGTTTTAAATTCAAAGTTAGGTTAAGTTTAAATAGCGGACGCGACGCGAACAGAATTCTTTCCGATCCGATAACTATAAATGAAGAGAGTTTACCAAACCACCTCACGTAAAGGAAATAACACCTGGCCTTATTAACGTCCATGCACTCTATTTGGTTTAGCGATATCTCTCTATTACGCTGTTTATTGTTATTTTACGCGAGTTTATTTTTGCGCACAGGAAATTTTACTCGTTTGCACATCGTCATATAAAACAATTTTCGTACCACGAATTAGGGACAAGATTTTTATCTGTATACTTATAGGATATATAATCTGTGAGTTAAGCCATCCAAGGCGCGAATATTAAATTCATTGTTGCAAACCATCAACATATTCGACACCAGGCTGGAATTTAAATATCCCGCTGGTGATTCAGGTGGTAACTCTGCTGTAAAAAATGTCAATTTGTCGCATTTATTTATTTATTTCCTGACATTTTGATTTGTTTTGACACTTTAGTTTTGTATTACGAGTTTTCGGTTTAAATGAATTGTGATACTTTAAGCTAAACAGTTTTTACTAGCAGACTTTGCAGTCGAAAATTGTTCCTTTTAGAACCGCTTGTAGTGCGAAGTGTACAAGATGTCGAAGCAATTTAATAGCCGTTGCAAAAAAACTTATCCCAACCTTATTAGAATATTTTGAACGGGAAAGCGGTAATAACTGCTTTTTATGTCTCTTAAGTGCTGTTATGGAGGTGAGTTTTGCTGATGTAAATAATAACTGTTTATATATTTTTTAATTTAATTCATTTGTGTTTTTTAAAATATTTTGATTAAAAGAAAATAGGGACAGTCGGCAACGCTGTGCCAGTCAAGCTTAATCACGTGAAAAAAAGTTTATTTGGTATGATCTATATATAGATTATTCCCCATTCTCATAATGAGTTAGATTTGTAACTAAGACAGGCGTAGTTTAGAAGCATATACATATCAAATATATACTGATTATCGCCTATCCCTGCAATGTGTTGGAGCTGAAGCCGAGTTAGAGACAACTAGATAACCGGTTCATCTATATTTCACATAAGTTCATCTGTTAGGCAGATACTGGCGCAACAGCGCAACTCCAAAATTCCGAATATCGATTAGAGCCATACGAAGTTAGACGGAGCCGTACGAATGAACAGCTGGTGCTAGCGTCTAGTCTCTTAATGGTCTGGTGATCCGATCGATAATTCAAAATCCAGGCTTGCGCACTACGCTTGAGCACAGCTAACTGAGCGACTTATGCAAATTCCTTCAGAACAATTTCCACAGAATGCAGTTTGGAGTCGATATACTTTAGTTAATATATACAGGGTGCTACAAATTCGAGGTACGAACATTGGTAACTCGGTAACCGTAATGAATACGAACATAGTTAAATTGGGGCAAAGTTGCGCTTTGGGATGTTCACCAAGATGCAATCAAAAAAGTTTTAAAAATTTCAAGGATTGCTGAGTTTTTTGGAAAAAACGGATATTTTTGAAAATCAATTTTATGTTTTCCTGTCAATACTTTTTAGAAAATCAAAAAACTAATTCCACATTCTCATAGCCAATTTATTAGGGCTATCTGATAGTATTTTTAGATTTTCAAATCAGCTGATAATTTGTGAGATACAGACGCCAACTTAATTTTTTAAATACGGACATGCATTTTTTATTTCAGATTTTGAAAGAACTCGCTTTCGTGAGTACAATGATATGCCACAAAAGCTATGAATTAAAGCGAACAAAAAATAAATTTGTGCAATAGGGAGGGTGGTAACCCTTTCGAGCATGTAGACTATGTAAAGCATTAGAAACTAGTTTGTAGAAGTTAATTTATTCATAATAACTACGATTAATATTATGCAAATTATTGGATCGTACATTGAGAATTTCAAATTCACAATAAGAAAAGTTAAAAATAATATAATAATAATAATAAATTGCCTTTATTTTACAGAAAAAAAATATACATAAGATGGTAACGAAATTGCAAGTCTGGCGTAGTCTAGCTGCAATAGCTACTCAACTTAACCAGAACATGCAAACTCAATAATTAAATATAATGTTTTACAAATTGCCTTAAAAAAAGTTTCAAATGTACAATGCAAAAGTAAAGTATAAAAAAAAAGAAAAATATGAAAAATTACGAATGCATTAAAAGATACTTTCTTGTATTTATGCTTAAACGCATTCTCACCCAAATTCAACAATTCTGTTGGTAACGAGTTATACCCCTTAACGGCATTATATGAAAACCCGCGCTGAAAAATGGCTGTCCGATGATGAGGCATCGTCAACTCATCTCCATTCCTAATATTAACTTCGTGTATGTCACGTCTGAAAATTAAACGCTCTTTAATAGATAGGGGAGCAGCGGGGTAGGGGAGCAACGCTCTTTAATAGATAGGGGAGCAGCGGGTTGCAAATTGCTGATCTGAATATTATTTATTTGAATCTTTCAATTTACTCAATTTTCTTTATTCAATGTTAATTAGCACTGACCAATATTGTTGCGATGAATATAATCAGATTAAATAATTTAAAAAACAGAGTCGGACTTGAAATTTTTTTAAATAATAATTAAATAGTTTTGTTGCTGTTAAGGTACTAAAAACAAAAAAAAAAGTATAAAGTGTGGCATATTATTGTACTCAGGTCCGTATTTAAAAAAATTCAGTTGGCCTCTGTATCTCACAACTTATCAGCTAATTTGAAAATCTAAAAATACTATCAGATAGCCATAATAAAGTGGCTATGAGAATGTGCAATTAGTTTTTTGATTTTCTAAAAAGTAACGACAGGAAAAAATTAAATTAGTTTTCAAAAAAATCCGTTTTTTTTTTCCAAAAAACTCATCAATCCTTGAAATTTTTAAAACTTTTAATGGCATCTTGGTGAACAGCCCAAGGCGCAACTTTGCCCCAATTTAACCATCTTCGTATCTATTACGATTTCCGGGATACCAATGCTCGTACCTCGAATTTGTAGCACCCTGTATATGTTGAGAAGCCATGCTCAAAACCAACATTCGGGAATTTGATTGGACTGTAACGAACGCGGGAGGCGCGCAGCCTTTGCTGCTCGAATCAAAGCCAAACTAAAGATATTCGAAAGATGAATAATTTATAATTCGCCCTTACGCATAACCACCCTACTTAAGAGGCATGTAAATTCTTTTGGTAAAATTCTATAGCTTCTTATCACAAGGTAGGTACACAGAAAAGAACATAGAGACAATATAGGTATTTATAAATACTTATAGAAAACGTAAATAAATATGACAGTTAACCTAAAATGGCTGACGAAAATAACTTACGCGTTTAGTGTACTGCTAATACCGTAATTCAATTTGTTTGAGTTTAATGTCATTGAGGATTATTATCGCTTGTCCCTGCGATAATATGCAACTGTTTCCCTTTACTTCTGTTGTAAACTTGGCCTGAACTGAACGGTTCTAATCTTGGATGAGTATCTCCTTTGCTTGGTTTATCTTTTAGAGGAAAAAAATATTAGACGAAATTTAAATGCGTTTTTTTCAATCATAGCTCACCAGGTAGACTAGTTTCAGCTGGAATATACTTGGAAATCCTTACAAGGGGTAGAGGTAAAAATCCACTTGTTAGGGGCATGACATCTAATATTACTTGCTGTACAGATCCCTCCTCCCCTTTATGGATATAAAAATTGTTAAATATTTATTTTCACAAAATTTAATGTCTTTTATCTGAACTACCTGTAAAGCAAACTACTCCCGCTGTACGACCACACACTGCCCAAACACTTTGTTCAGCAAGAACTTCATACATAATTGATCTTGTATCTAAATCTGTATCTTCTGTGGGACCAACATATGAGATAGAAAGGTGTAGATTACAGACGATCCCGACTCTGCAGAATTCGCTGCCTTTTGCTGGTTCAACCACCGCATCAAGTATGTACAAAGTCTGTAAAAAATTTGACAATTTTTCTTTCTACCATAAAATTAGAATAAGAAATTTTAAATCCAAAAACCTAAACAAGCAATTTTTTCTTATTAAAACCACTAATTGTTAGAGACTTATAAGTCTCTAATGAATTGAAAAGTCTTTCATGGACTGATAACTCTTCTTAGACTGATAACTCATTAATGAACTGATAACGCTTCTTAGACTGATAAGTTATTAATGAAGTTTCTTGGAAAGATTGGATGTCATATTTGTTTTACTTACCTTCAACTCGGTAATGTCAAAAAAGAATTGGTAAGTCTTGTAGTCATCCCCCTGGTTTAGTTTATACTGGATAGAAAATTCTACTTTCACACAATTAGTCAACCCAACTTCTGTCAATTCCCAAATAAAAGAATTACTGGAACCATTATAAATTATCTGAAACAGTACATCCCTCAAGATTCTACATATTATAAATTCTTCACGTGCAATACCAAACTAGAATCACAGTTGTTTGAATGAACAGGAATGTCTTTAATTTTCAGTTGTGGACTTTCGACTATAAGGCTGTTCTCGCATTGGCCCACCACGTTCACTTGCACGAATTTTCGGTGGCTTATGGTGAATAGTCTCCAGGTTGTCGACATGGGTGGCGAAAAAGTAAGTGGAACAAGAATAGGCTTGGTGGTCCATGGCACTTGAATTGTAACTAAACACATGATTAGTTTAACAGAGCAGTTGAAGCAGTTAGAAACTGTTTTTGTCAAAACCTTTTTCTTCTCCCACAAAGAAATAAGTGAACGTACATTAGATCCTAACATACCGAGTGGTGCATGGAAACATAAGAAATCCCATGCAAATTTTGAACTGTCCAAATGCTGGTACCCCTATTGATTTTACAGCTAAGTCGCAAATAGGTTTTTTCAAGTCTGTGTATGCTGAATGCACATATTTTAACCATTTTGTACTAGTTGATTTCAACTAATTTAAGAAAAACGTAATCTATTTTTAAATCAAAACTGAACAGGTAACAATATGCAAAACCAGATAAATCTCAACATACCTTAAGTAGACAACCTATGACTTCTTTGTATCATGACCAGGGGCGGGAAAGTAAAATTTCAAATAAAATAGTTTCAGGCCCGGTCGCTAGGTGGTAGTGCAATTAATTTTTAGGTTAGGAAGTTGCTACTATAGACCATTCCTGAACACGTGACTTTGACAGATCCGCCATTTTCGCTAGGAGGCATACAAACCGTATATAAACCATTAACTTGCATTCATTTCTTTGTGTTTTTAGTCTTTTATAGCGTTATAGACATATTTTTTTTTAATTCTTAATTTTCTTTAATCCTCAATTTTAATTATCCTAGAATCAGTAGGTCAACCAATTAAGGGGTATTTTTATGAGGCCGAATTACAGAAGACAAAGTCTCCTGGTATTGATCTAGTTGAAATAATGCCAGGTCACCACCAGAAAAATAATAATAAACAATTTTATGTGAAGTGGTTAGGCTTTTCTTCCAGTAGAAAGTTGCTACTATAGACCATTCCAGAACACGTGACTTTGACAAATCCGCCATTTTCGCTGGGAGGCATACAAACCGTATATAAACCATTAACTTGCATTCATTTCTTTGTGTTTTTAGTCTTTTATAGCGTTATAGACATATTTTTTTAATTCTTCTTTAATCCTCAATTTTAATTATCCCAGAATCAGTAGGTCAACCAATTAAGGGGTATTTTTATGAGGCCGAATTACAGAAGACAAAGTCTCCTGGTATTGATCTAGTTGAAATAATGCCAGGTCACCACCAGAAAAATAATAATAAACAATTTTATGTGAAGTGGTTAGGCTTTTCTTCCAGGTTTAACTCATGGATTGATGTTTCAGATATTATTTAAAATTTATAATATTTAAACTTTATAAACCGAGGTTTATACTATTAAAAATAAACACATATTTGTTTTAAATCGTATTATATTTAAATAAATCTACATTTATTAGTAGTTAATAATAATAATAATCTTTACTTCAAGGAATGTAACATACAAATGTAAGTATGTAACAATAATACAGGAAGTCCAATCCCAAATTTTGGCTGAATTAGGCTTATCTCCTAACATAATTCGTCTTAAAAACAAAAACGTATTTTTCGCTAATTTAAACTCAATAAATGATAATTTTGCAAAACGGACTTACCATTTATAAAGTCTTTGGAACAAATTCGTTTCTTTTTAATCTCACTTTCATACAGGGACCTTTCATTTCGAAGCTTTTAACCACATTTTTCTTCGAACATTAGATAATGCATGTAAATTATTTCCTCTGTTGGTCAAAGCAGCATGATTTGGGAAAAATTAGACATTATCACGCATTAAACACTTAATAACACAACAAAAATGAGGCTTTTTTCACTGTTTTAAGTTCGTTTAAACCTTAGATTATTGTGTTTACATATGGACAACGTGAAAATTAATTGGTTTGTGTACCTACCAGCAAATTTTGCCGACCTGTCAGTGACGTCATTCTGGAATGGTCTATAACTAGTAAGAATAGGCTTGGTTAAATACGTAAAGATACCAGATGGCGTTAAATCGGATTTTTTTTGTAGTTTCCATAGTTTCCAATGGCCATTGTCATACTATTGTCACATTCTCAAAAATATTGTCGTTGTCACAACACAATCATATTATCAAATGATTATCAAAACGATTTTCAAAGTATAAACACATATAATTTTTATTATATGTGTTTTAATTAGACAATTCTTTTTGTTTGTGGCTCTAAAATATAATGTAAGTCTTTTATTTTTTCCATCATTTAAGAACCTATTTATATTTACTTCATTTGCAAAACTTTGGGCGTATTACGTTGGTCTTCTTTTATTATAATAAACGATGTTTATATATTTGACTTCTATTTTTTGTATGTATAAATTTATTACTATTAAATTTTATTTTTTACACAACACATAGCAAAGCTTTGTATCAAATTTGTTAATATTGTGTAAAAAATATCTTTTAAGATGGTTTTCATATTTAAAATGATAGTTTCAAGTAAAATTATATAAATGAGGGTATTTCAATTCTTAGCGCCACTAACATGGGACCATTTTTTAGTAAGGTAAAATAGTAGTAAGTTCTGTTCTTTTTCTTGGTACATTTTTTGATCATTATCTATGACTTTATTATTGTCAAATGTAATTTGTTGTGCTGTCTACAGTTCTACCACGGCATATAAATCAATCGGCAGGCTAACTCGCTTTGGCGGGAACGCTACGAGCATATCCTCGCGCACGCCGCCATTTGCGTTTCCATCAGCAGAAAGTAACCAGTGTCGTAGTTTTTTCAGCGACAACACACAGTTACGGCAGATTCGATTTTTTCTTGAGTGATATATTTTGTTTTTGTTGTTTTATTTTTGTTTATTATGTGATATATTTGGGTTTTCTAGTTTTATTTTCGTTTCTTATGTAATATGATTTGTTTTAGTAGTTTTATTTTTGTTGTTCAATAAAAGTTTCTTTCTGTTTCCTAGAGATCCTATTAGGTATGTATATATGTGATTAATTATTTTAACATATTTTAGTTGTGAAAAAACAGTAGTATACATATTAGGACATTCAGCTAAATAGGAAGACCTAATTAAAAATCTTAACAAACTTTAATATTAGTAAGATTTAATGTTAAATATTTAGTAAAATTTAATGTTGTGACATTAAAAATTAAATTTAAAAATCATTGTATTAATTTAAATATAATTATAAAAGTAAATAAAATGAGTATATCGAAAATAAGTTAACAATACATTTTGAAGATATAAATAAGGCCCACAAAAGGTACAAGTTGTGTTCTGTGTTTTGAATTTAAAATGTTTACCAATTCACTTTGTAACAGTATAAAATACAATGCTGTACCTACTTTGTTTCCTGCCATGAAAAAAATAGAAGTTTCTCAAAAAAAATTGTGGATTTGTTAATTTGTGAAATTTGAATATTAATAAAATTTGCTACGCCCATTGATGGGCATAATTTGTACGTAGCCTCTTTATATTGTTCAATAAATATTTTATTGGTATTTCTTTAATTCTTGTTTGTAACTCCTGGCATGTTTTTGTTAGTTGCATGTTTTTTAATTTTAATTGTCTATTCTCTACAGTGATATATTTAATTGATTTTTTCATTTTTACTTTTCGAGAAGTATGCGCGGTTAACGAATCATTTGCTTGGACAAAAGTATTGTGTAAATAAAATTCAGTTTCAGTAAATTACAGTATTTTTTAATACGACCGTGTCTAACAATAGTTTATTTTCTGAGAAATTTTTTGATACGTTTTAATCCGGCCCTGACTAGGAAACGATAATGGCGCCGTCAAGGTCAAATTTTATAGAAATTTAAAACAATGGAATCTGAGCAGAGTTAGCATGCAGTTTCTTATAAATTAGTTAAAATGGGCTTGTTCACAATTATTCAAATTTGGCATGTGTATTCAGCATACGCAGACCTTTAAAAAACCTATTTACGACTTCGCTGTGAAATCAACAGGGGGGCTAATATTTGGTTAGGTTAGGTTAGGTTACGATGCACCACCCGACATAAAATATATTCATGGGTTTGTAGTCGTAGTACATATTTAGACCTCCATTAGACACTAGGTTTATTTATTTCTCTGAGCAGAATACCTTTCTTTTCGATCCTGTATTAACAATATAATAACAAACCTTGATGATCCTTAGAATGTAGATCAGCAAAAACCCTTAGTGAGACTTTTGTACTTGAGAAGGTAGGTTTTTCTCCAACTTCTATTTCAATACTGTTAGCTAATGCTTCATTGGCTTCTACTTGAAAAGTAAGCCCAGAAGAGGCAGTTAATTTAATTTTAGACTTCTGTAAAAACAACGAAAACAAAATAAAATAATGTAATATTCCATCTACATGAAAATAGCTGGTCTAATAAAAGATAACTGAAACTGACTAATTTCAGAATGACGTTATTGACTATACAACCAAAAATATGTATTATAGACGAACCAAATTAGAGAGGTCACTTGGAAAAAAAGTGTTGGAAAGCGAATTACTGATTTGATTGGTTCATTTGACGTTATTAACCTCCGATTGTTACCACTTTTCCTGACGCGTCTCGTCACGCCCTTCAACTTTAACTCCCATAGTGTGTAAAGAAGTTTCACTTCAAAAATCCTTTATGATCAGGTTTGGTTTGGAACAACCACAGAATGGAAACTCGGAGATAATATCCATCTATAAAATACTAATACTTTACCCCCACTTTATAAATTATTTTATATAGAGTTAGTAGAAGGAATGTGAGGGGTACCTCTCTTGGGCATTGAAGAGCAAATGGTTTGTTTCGACATATTTTCATTTTCTCGGCATGTACTTGATCATATTTAACATTTAGCACCCACAAATTTGATGCTCTGTAACTTTAGTTGTAATTTCTATAACTAGAATGATGTTTTCCTTGTGATGGACAATTCAAAAAATGACATTCAAATAATACATTCTTTTACGATTTTAGATTTTATGCATACTATACTTAACCGAATTGAATAAATATATGGTAATCGCAAAACAATTTCCGATGCACGTGATCAATTTTGAGTGGCAAGCGATGGCGACAGCGCTGCCAGATTGTGATAGATTTATGAGATGAATCTTAATTTAAAAGTGACTTTGTTTTATAACTTATTTTACTTATTACAAATTGACAAAAACTAGTCCATTATGAAGATTATTCTAAGCGTTATTATGGGTTATTTATTTATTTATTGATGTACATCTTACAACGCCATAATTAGTAATAATAAGTTAAGTAGTAATAACAAGTAAAAGGGACATTAATGCACAAACTAATAATCACAGAATTTACTAAAAACTAACGTAGAAATAGCTTTGAAAGTGGTGTAATGTGCTTATCAATCAAACTTACTTTTCTGACTGCAGTCAAGGGTAATAAAGGACCTTTATTGTCACGTTCTCGTTCAAAATAGTTTATCAGGGAAGCTAAGCTCTTTGCTTCGACTGTTTCAATGCTTCAGTATATTTTCAACACACAATTTCAAGAAATGCAATATAAAAACTTGAAAATTTAGTTCTTAAAAGAACTGTTTGTGCTTAAAAGTACAATTTTTTAAAAAAGACTATGAAAATATGCAAAAAAAACGAGAATTACTCACAAAGATTCAACACGATATTATACAAAATAGTGACTGACATTAGGATAATTATTGTCAAATAATAAACGACAACCTTGCTGAAAACGGCGCAAGAACATAGAGATAATAAAATTCGGTTTAAACTAATTTTTGCAGCTTTAATCTAAATAAAATATCGATTACAATCATTTGCTCTATAAAGTGAAATGAAGAGCTGCTCGGTATCTTGAATTATGCAACAAATTTAAACATTTTTGCCAACATTTCATTTAGTCAAGTTTATAGACTTTAGTGTCAATGTCGATATGATTGATGACGTGCATCGGAAAATATTTTGCGATTACAATATATTCATTCGACAGAGAATTTAATTCTCTTTAATTTACGTAATACTGAAATATTCGCTAGAAGGCAATGTTTCGGAAATATAGGCGGAAATCTGAAAAAAGTCTAATAATTTTACTTATCTTTGAAACAGAATATATTAGGTTACTGATTATTATTTGTTAAATTGCGGACTACATGGGAATATTTTAGTGTAAATGTAGTAAACCTTATTAACATTCAATGCGTTCAAACAACCGTCTTGTTGATGTCGCCGCTTATACCCATTTTATTAAATAAATCTGGTATGCGGATAAAAAATATCTTCGATTTAAGTAAATTTATTTCTACATTTATTCTTAACTTTTGCAAATAACGGCGGCAGCCTGTGGTTTAAAATTTCACCATACATCTTATTAGTTATTATATTTTGTATGAATTAACTTGGTGCTAGCCATTATAGCAAAGAGTTACAAAAGAGAGAGAGAGAGAAATACACGAGGAACTTAAACTATCGCCTTTTACTTCATCAAACCGACCCTCAAAATTTCCCCCTGTTACATCTTGGCGCCCAACTAGAGGCTGGTGAAGTATTATATAGACAATAGAAGAACTACTGACTACGTGTATTTATCTGAGATGAATAACGGTGCCACCTCAAGGACTCACAGCTATGACCTTCGTGGTAAGGGCCAGAGTCGACTTTTGAATCTACGAGGTCGACAATCTCTTTCGGATCCCATAACAACATCGCCCACAACGCCTCAGGGGCCCGTACCAACTACGACAGCCACGACGGTACCGAACACAAGTCCAACGATACAAGGTAGGATCTTTCAACGGCAAATTTCATGCCACCGCCATTTTGTAATCCGACTACCTGTTCCATGCAGCAAGAAGATTTAAAAACGATAATTTCTAGTGTTATTAATGAAGTACATAAGTTAAATATAAATAATAATAATATCAATTCTAATCAGGGCCATTTTCAAAATATTTGTACTTTTAAACCAAACGCTGACGTTCCTATTTTTGATGATAAAGGGGATATACATCCTGTAGATTTTTTAAATCAAATAGAAACCATGTATAAGTCACAAAATTTTTCTGTAGATCAGTTTTTAGTAGATAGTATAACTAATTTATTCTTTAGAGGAAACGCAAAAATATGGATGAACGCTTTCTTATCAACTTTCACTAATTTTCAAGATTTTAAAAATCAATTCTTAGCTCAATATTGGAGTCAATCTCAGCAACTTAAGATTAGACTGAAATTAGATTCGGATATTTACCCTATAAATGGCAGCGCTACATTTACAGAATATTTTAATTCCTATGTAGTTTTGGCTAAACATTTAGAACCTGCCTATCCGCCGCCGCAATTAATTCAAATTATTGCGCGACATTTTCCACCAAGTATTTCTTGTACTTTATTCGGCGCAGTTACATTTCAAGATGCCCTTCAGCGTCTTAGACAGGCCAAATATTATTTTAGTGCTAGTACGACGGATTCTTTTTCACATTCAACAAGACCGGGAAAAAATTATTTTTATAAACAAAATAATTCTAGGCATGGATCACAATCACAACAGATGTCGGGACAAAATCAGACAAAAAACTTATCTAGTATGCAAACTGTGGATAATGTTGAATGTGAGGAAAATTCGGAAAACTAGATTGCTTTCCACAGACGAGCCCGGCTGTGGAAAACGTTTTAAAAGGGGCTTTTAGTTTTAATAATAACGTTAGAGATGAATTACTTAAAGATGAGTGTAGCTTTAAGCACGAAATTGTTAATTATAGATCGCCGATTATCGAAACGCAATTGTATGGGTTTTCTTTCCCCGCTTTAATTGACACTGGAAGTAAAATCTCCGTAGTCTCTGAAGACGTTTGGAACTCTTTTTCTGATAAAATTAAAAGTGACATTCCATCTTTTCCATGTTCTGGCATAAGAGTTACAGGGGCGTTTAAATCAAACCAAAGAAAAATACAATTACAAACTTTAATTTGTTTTTCGTGTGAAAATAATATTTTTTACCAGGAATTTTTTGTCATACCTGATCTTGTTTATTCAATTATTTTAGGAATTGATTTTTTACGAAAATACAAAGTACGTATCGATTTAAATATAAATAAAATATTTTGTTCGGTAGGCGATGAACAAATTGCTTCATCAGAAAAGAATTATTCTCACGAATGATGGTAGAGAATCGTTAAATTTGCGCAGTTTATCAAAATACGAGAGTTTTGTTATAGCAAATGCAGTTGTGCAGTCAACTGATATACAGAGTGTCACAAAAAATACAAATTTAAGTTTTAATGAGAAACATATGTTTAAAGAATTGATTAGCGAATATGAATCGATTTTTTCAAATATACCGGGTCGTGTAAAAAATTATAATCATCAAATTAAACTTCATAATACCGATCCATTTTTTATTAAGTCCTATCCGATACCCGTAGCTTATCGAGAAGCCGTCAATAAAACTGTCACGGAAATGGAAAATCTGGGTATAATTGAACGTGCTGCAACTCCATACATATCACCCGTAAGAGTTGTAATCAAAAAAGATAATTCGGTTAGAATTTGTTTAGATGCGCGCAGACTTAATAAACAGATGGAAAAAGATCACGAGTGTCCGAGGTCAATAGAGGATATTTTTAAGACATGTAAATTGAATTCTTCTTCAGAATTAAAATATTTTTCGCGTTTGGATACTACGAGCGGGTATTGGCAAATACCATTGACAGAGGATTCGAAACAGTATACGGGGTTTATGATTAATTCAAAAACGTATGTTTTTCGTGTGCTGCCTTTTGGGTTGTCAACGGCCGCTTCGTCGTTTATACGCATGATCAGTAAAATTTTCGGTCCGGAGTTTGACTCATTTTTAACCGGATATATTGATGACATGCTTATAATATCTGATTCGTTTGAGCAACATATTAAACATTTAAAAATGGTTTTCAAACGACTCCAGGAATTTGGGTTAACCCACGGTAAACTCACAACGGTATGTTCCTCGACCGGCATAAATTGGTTCCTTTCGCGCATGTGACATAGGCTGGCCAATGCCCTCTATAAAAAATCAGCCTACGGGCGGACTTTTGTTTACTTCATCAGCTGTACATACTTAGATAATGGGTTAGATTCTGTATTCATATTTTGTCAGTTGATTTTTGGTATTATTTGTTATTGTAGTGCAAAAAACTAATTATTTTGGTGTTTAAGTGACATAAAGTACTACCAGATATATGGTTACTATGATGGTCAATCTGTTTCTCATAAAAAAACACGAAATATTACACGTTTTGTTAAGTGCTTTAACCTAAAAGTGCCCATAAATTTTTTATTTATCGTGATTTTTGTGTGTGTTTTTTAAG